CCCACACCCCAAACCCTTAAACCCTAAACCCAGAACCGCTAGACTAGGGTCTTTTAGTTTCGACTTCCTGACACGCGCAGGTTCGTGATTCAGTCCCGGCGCAAGCACCCCAATCACCACAAACATAACAGCCCTAACCCCTGTAAACCTTCAACCCTAAATCCCTATAAACCTGAAACCAAACCACTATAAACCTTAAACCCTGAACCCAAAAAAACCTCAAAGCCTAAACCCCTATAAACCATAAACCCTAAAACATGAATTTACGGTTTAGGGGCTACCCTGCGAACCGGCGGATTTAGGTTTGTTGAAGTTTGAATGGTCTTTAGAAGGTTTAGGCTTTATGTTAAGGGTTTAGGGGTTTGGGGTTTAGGCTTTTTGAGGATCAGATTTTTGCGGGGATTATAAGGGCTTGGGGCTTGTCGGGTTTAGGCTCGGGTTTGGGGTTTGGGGTTTTGGGTTTGGGGCTTAGGCCACGATTCAAAAAGACACCGAAAGTTTGAAGCTGTTTCTGGGCCTATGAGCTGGCAAACCTATTCTAAGCCTCTGCGCCCTGTTGCTTTTTTGGGAGAGTGGTCTGGGCTTGTTTTGAAAAACTGCCCCCACCTCTTCCAGCGGCACATCGATCAAGGCGACCTAGTGGAGGGCTTAGGGCATAAGGCACGGGCTAAGGTTTTAGTTGCGCTTTTGCTCTCACTGACACAGCTTGAACCCTAAACCCTTAAATCCTAAACCGTAGGGCTTTGGGGCCTACTTACCGTTTTAGTTTTTGTGGCCTCAATAGGCCTTCCGGCTTATCCGAACAAGGTTAGTCCAGAACGGTTTTTTTTCAAATGCACCAACGCCCTTGAGTCGGTCGTAATGTTTATAGGAATAAGATCTAAATTTGTAGCCATGGCAGCGGTCAGGATAAGAATAGAGATTTCAAGCAAGACAAGCATCTGTTGACAATCAAATCTGCCCAATCCGGTCTGGTCTGAGTCTAACCGAAGCCTTCATCATCATCGTCATCATCACGTTTTCATCATCGTCGTCATCATCAGGGCTTTTGGCTTAGGTTTCAGGGTTCTCAGCACCGGCCATCACGCTAACCTTCTTCCCTCCGTTGTTCTCCCTGACAATCGGAGCCCTACAGGCCCTGACCCTAAACCCTAAACCCTAAACCCCAGACCCTAAACCCTAAACCCTAAACCCTAGACCCTAAACCCTAAACCCGATTGTCTGTGTGCCTCGTGGGGATTTTCCATGGGCTCGTCAGGGACGAAGCCGTAGCCTGGACTCTTGCTCAATCCCAACAGGTAGGGTTTAGGGTACAGTTATGGGGGATACTTCCCCAAATGATAATGGTGACTCCCAACATAGAATGAAACCCTGGATTCTGCTATATAGATACTTAGGACTTAGGACCCTTGGGGAGTAAGGTTTCTGACTTAGGCTACTATCATCACCGAAATCATACTGTTTCGAAATCATACTGTTTACATGAATGTTTATACGCCCTGAATAGTATCTCCCTGGATACTTCGACTGCGGCGCTTTTTGCCCAGTGGGTTACAGTTCCTTAAGCCATCTTAAAGCCAACGGGTCCTAAGTACCTATATAGTAGAAAGTGGGGTTTCTGTATTAGGAATTTCTATTCCCATATAGGTACTTAGGACCCGTTGGAAAAACCCGTGCATGGACCTCGAGGTTTCCCCAACAGAGTAGTGCGGGAACCCACTATTATGTAGGTTCGTGTGCAGTCATGAAAGCGTGAAAAACCTTCCAAACCCTGATAACAGCCTATAGCTAAGGACTCTTACGCAGCTTTTATAGGACCCTTATGTTATAAACCCAATAAAACCATAACCAAAACCCTGACAACAACCGACAAAATAGCTAGTAAGTAGGAGTTTCCGCAAGTTAGGGTAACCTATTTCGGGGTCCTGATAACAAGGATCCTACAACTTAGGGTACTATATTAGGGCCCCCTATTTTCGGAATAGACCCTAAACCCTAAACCCTAAACCCTTAAACCCTAAACCCTAAACCCTAAACCGTGGCTACCCCCAAGTAGCTCGCCCAGAGCGCAGCGGAGGAGAGCTCGCTGTAGAGATGGGTCAGCTCGTCTCCTCGATTGCAGCTTTGGATTCCTTTCAGAGTTTAGGGTTTAGGGTTCAGGGTTTAGGGTTTAGAGTTTAGGGTTTAGGGTTTAGGGTTCAGAGTTTAGGGTTTAGAGTTTAGGCTATAGGGTTTAGAGTTTAGGGTTTAGAGTTTAGGGTTTAGGGTTTAGAGTTTAGGGTTCAGTGTTCACTCCACTCGGGTTCTTTTAGAAATTTAGAGGTTGCTTTAAGCACTGCTGTGCATTAAGGGTTCTTGTATGCCTTCAAAAGGTTCCTGTAAGTTAAGGGCACGATGGGGTTTAGGGTTTGTAGAGCCTTGCCAGCGCTTTACGACTTGGGGTTCAGGGCTGCCAAGAAACGACACAGCATTCGAATCGTCTTTCCCACTGATCGAACTATCGACGAAAAGCTCGCACTTCCCGAGCTTGCCTTCTTATGCAAGTAACCAGCTCTTCTCCAAGTTCTCGTGACACCTCATCCTCATTCCTGGGAGCTATACTATGAATCACTGTGACCCCATACCCTTGTACTGAAACCCTGAGCCGCACACCTGGTTCTTAACGGCGAATACAGAAGCCTGAATATTCCTGAGGATTCCTAATCTTGAGTACAGTAGCATAGCAATAGCATACTTGGAAAACATGGGACTTAGTAACTCAGGTTATAAGTACCCTAATTGGGGTTATAACTAATTACAAGTATGGTTACCTCATCTATAACCCTAGTGACTAAGTCCCATGATCCTTTAAGTAGTATACCCCTCAGACCCTAAACCCTATACCCTAAACCCTAAGCCCTAAACCCTAAAGCCTAAACCCTAAAGCCCCAGACCCGACCAGGGCTTTCTCCTGGCTGGATGTGGCGAACAGCCTTCAGCTCCGCGCCAGAATCCACGTCCCCGGAGAACCTGGCCATCCCATCTCGTTGACCAAAAACGAGAAACATGCCTTCGAGCTGAAGAGGTTAGGGTTCAGAGTTCAGGGTTTAGGGTTTAGGGTTTAGGGTGAGGGGTGTAGGGTTTGGGTGTGTCGAACATTTTGCGACAGTAATGGACTATGTAGGCCAACTACTGCATAACCGGTAAGACACGACTGCTGAAAACTTTCCAACCACCCAAGACTGCAAATGTAGCCCTGGAACACCCCCAACCCCAGACCCTAAACACCCTAAATCCCAACAAAACACAGTAAACCCTAACAACCATACTCTTAAGCTCAAAGCAATGTAAACCCTAAACCTGAACCCTCCCAAAGGGTCCAAGTTCTAGTAGTAATTACAGTGCATACTTGTGGAGCCCAAATTTCCTACTAAGTACCTGCTACAGTGGTACTTGGACCCTTTGGGCCTAAACATCCCCACACCCCCCGAGAGCCCGAGGAAATTCCTGTCGGGAAGGCTGACAGTTCCAGCAGGGCGGCCCCGAGGCGACTGGCACGAAGGTGTTCAGAAGATCCTCGACCGCTTCGTGGTATCACATGGGCGGGCGGGGCTTCTTTATAAGAGCAGGGTTTATAGAAGGGATGAACAAGGAATACTTTTAGGGTCTACGATTTATAAGAGCATGAACCATGGGAATACAGGTTGGGGTCTAGTGCATCATGTGCTACGTCATGTAAACCCTAAACCACTAAATCCCAACCTTAAACCCTAAACCCTCAACCCTAACCCAAGACCCTAAACCCTCAAGACTCAACCTCAACCCCTAAACCCCTAAACCCCTAAACCCAAAACCCCTGAACCCGTAAACCCTAGACCCCTAAACCCCTGAACCCCTAAACTCTAAACCCTAAACCCCTAAACCCTAAACCCCAAATCCTGTTCAAAAATGCTGGCAAAACAAGTGGCAATGAGCGGCACCATCGCCCGCACGGCTCGTCCGGACCCTGCTCGTAAGTTGAAGCACCTTGCGATTTAGGGTTTAGGGTTTAGGGTGGAGGGTTTTGGGTTGAGGGATTAGGGTGTGGAGTTGAGGGTTGGGGGTTTAGGGTTGAGGGTTGAGGGTGTCGGCTTGAGGGTTGAGGTTTAGGGTTGAGGGTGTAGGGTTGAGGGTTGAGGGTTGAGGGTTTAGGGTTGAGGGTTTAGGGTGTAGGGTGTAGGGTTGAGGGTTGATCGGTTGAGTATTTAGGGGTTTAGGGTTTAGGGTTGAGGGTTTAGGGTTAGTGGTTGAGGGTTGAGGGTTTAGGGTTCAGGGTTGATCGGTTTAGGGTTTAGGGTTTCCCTGTTGAAGGCTCCTTTAAAGGAACTATAAGGGTTCCTTTAAGGGATCTTTCAGGGTACTATTCGTCTATGGGGCCTGAATAATTTGAATAGGGTTTTGGGCTCCATTATATTAAAAATTATCAAAATAAGGAACCGAAAGGAATACTATCGGCAATTAAATAGGTAGGATTTAGTGCCCGATGTGCCAGAAGTCTCGACGCAGGACTCCTTGCTTGGAGAATGACCAAGATGATACTCAGATTTTCACATACCCCTAAAAACCGTTTGGTTGCTAAGCTCATAAGGTGCCCCAATTGATGTATAGTAAACCCCAGGAAGTTGGAACATGGATTCAGGATGGCTTTGGATGACTTGTGCTTCTATAGCCTATACCCTATACATTACCTTAAGTGCATCATGATAATGATGAACCCTGTGAGTCACTAGACCTACTACGACCTTGCACCCTAAACTCTTGCTTTCCTTAAGCCCTCTTAAGCCCCGAGTATCTACCCCAAGCTTCACCAGAAGCAACCACTGGTCCCTTTTGAAAGCGTAAGCTGTGGAAGGAGGAAGATTTGTGGATTCGGGGGTATATTCTATGGAGGGTTTGGTTTACGAGTTTAGGGGTCTTGGGTCCACGGTATAGGATCTAAGGGTTTAGTGTCTGCGGCTTAGGATTTCAGAGTGTGGGGACTACGGTTTCGGAACACGAGCTACCAGGCGTAACTAATGTATCCTTGGAGGGAAATACCCCAACCAGAATAGGTATGTCTAAACCCGAAGCCCTTAAAGGAACCTTGAAGAGATCCGGCATGAACCCTATACCCTAAACCCTACTCTTATAGGAACCCCGCAAAATGACAAATGAAGAGCCTGGAGTCAACGGCCGTCAAAGCCCACAACACCTGCATACCAGGTGTGCATTCATCAGGGCTGCACAAGGTTTCACGAGGACTTTAAGCCCTAAACCCCAAAACCCTACAACCCAAAAACCCTAAACCCCAAAACCCCAAAACCCTAAATCCCAAAACCCCTTAAACCTCAACACTTAGACCGGGTTCCTACAGGGCACCAGAATCAGAACAACGCCCCGGTTTGAGAGGCTCCGGCTTCATTTCTCATCAACGTGGCTAAATGATTAGCAAGCAGATAAGAGCCTAAAGATACGATACTCTATGCAGATAAGAGCCTAAAGATACGATAGTTTATATGATTTATGCATGTAGATATGTATCTCTGTGTATATATAGAGACATACATCCATGTGCTTGCCTGCCTGCCTGGCTGCCTGTCTGTCTGCGTGTGTATGTATGTATGTATGTATGTATGTATGTATGTATGTACGTACGTATGTATGTATGTATGTATGTACGTATGTGTGCGTGTGTACGTATCTGTATGCATGCATGCATGTGTCCATCTACGTGTATATGATAGGTGGCCTGCAGGCACCCAAGACGGCGACAAACAGTCTTCCAAATTAGCGGAACTGAGCATCATGACATGGTCCGGTACAAATTGGGAGCAAACCCTGACAAGAATGGGTTACTGGGTTGCATCTTTTTCTGGAAGACAACCTATTTAGGTCACTGGAGCCTCAGGAAACTCGAAAATATCAAGTTTAATTTCGTCCAAGCTGCCACGGCATGGGCGAGAAGTTTTGCTTTGTGCTGTTATACTTTTCATGAATGGCGCGGCCTGCACGGGTTGTGCATGTATGCCTATGCCAACTGGTCCGCTGAGGAAGGCAAGCAGGCACCCAATGAAACTCACACGATGAATAACATCATGGATAGTAGCATGCACAACGACGATCACATACAAGCATATCTCGTATCAACACTTTAAGGTTTGTATGCAGAGACGACCTTGGGCATGTGCGCGCATTTTTGCATATTTTGTCTACTTGTTGCATCAGAACTTCCCTGAGCCGCCAACCTCGTGAATACAAGAGCAAATCAGAATCGTTGCTCTAACTCTACACCCTGAACCCTGCTAGACCCTAAACGAGGCCTCTGATTTCGAAAAGCCCCTTGCAGCCAGGCTGTGGGCGAGATCCAGTCCATGCGAAAGCCGCGCCTTGCATGAAACTCAACGTCTTCATGGGTTTAGGGTTTGGGGTTTGGGGATTTAGAGTTTAGAGTTTATAGTTGGGGGGTATAGGCTTGGTGTTAGGTTCCACAGACCGTGCACCGAAGTCTCGCTGGTACCGAAGAAGACCAATAAGGCCCAGAAAGTTAGAACATGAGTTTAGGAGGATTGGTGCTGGCATCCCTTACCCTTAGCATGACAAGAGCTCAAAAGCCTCATATCATAGAATAGTTTGGGCCCAGGAAGCTTTAAAAGATGAGTCCTTTGCGGGCAAGGGATATACTTTATCTTAAGGGCATGAGGATACCCTAAAACCCTAAACCTTAACCCTAAACCCTAAATCCTAAACCCCAAACTCTAAAGCCTAAACCCTAAACACTAAACCGATAATCGTGTTCCAACTTTTTGGCTTCCACTAAAAGATTGCACCAGGGCGATCCCTGATTGAACCACTGGGACATCGCGGCCGCGCAGGCTTTGCAAGTGGAGTGCAGCTTCAGACTTGTCGCGGGAGGACGGTACTCTTTATAAAGAATCATGCGACTTAGTAACTAGGGTTATAAATAACGTAACCATACTTATAATTATAGTTGTTTGGGGTTTTGGGTTTAGGGTTTCGGGTTTAGGGATTTATGACCCCAATTAAGGTACTCTTACTTACTAAGTCCCATGATCCTGTGATATATGCCAACCCAGAGTTGACGCCTGTGAGTTGAGGTGATGGTGAGGGTGTCCCACGAAGACGAGGACGCGGACGACGACGTATTACTGCTGCTGCTGCCGTATAGTAGTAGTAGTAGTAGTAGTAGTAGTAGTAGCAGGAGCAGTAGTAGTAGTAGTAGTAGTAGTAGTAGTAGCAGTAGTAGTAGTAGCAGCAGTAGTTGTAGTAGTAGTACTACTACTACTACTACTGCTACTGCTACTACTACTACTACTGCTACTACTACTCCTACTACTCTACTACTACTACTACTACTACTACTACTACTACGACTACTCCTGCTACTACTACGACCACCACTACGAGCAGATCTGCGAGGGTTTCCGAAAAACCGTTCCCTAAAAATTCCATGTGCCCAAATAGCATATGCTGTGGCACCAAAGTACGTACCAATACAGGAACGACTTGAAGGCCAAAGTGTATCCTTCCACTTAACGGCCAAAGTATAGCCGTTCTGGGCACATGAACCGTTAAACCTTACACTTTAAACCCTTATGGTACCCTTACAGAACCCGTAAAGGACCCCTTTAAAGGAACCCAGGCCAAAGTATATCCGTTTTGATGGATCCTCAGGGGCTGAGATCCCGAGGGCCCTGCGGAGAGAGTGCAGCAGCCGTTCAGGCTACCGCGCATCAACTCGGCGACGTACCTGAGGCTTCCAGCTAAGAAACCGAGCCCCCAAAACCCCGAAACCCTGAACCCCAAACCCCTAAACCCTATATAAACCCTAAACCCCAAACCCCTAAGCCCTATATAAACCCTAAACCCTAATCTAAAAAACAGCTAAGCCAGGCACTCATGCCCAGGACAGAACAGATCCCTCATATCCGGAACGCCTGAACCCTAAAACCCGAAACGTCCCCAAACCATACTGTTGATGAAGTAAGTCCTGC